CTGCTCAAATTCTTTCTGATTTTTCCCAAGCCAGATTTATGCTGAAAACAATAACTGAAACCTTAAACAATTGGCTCATTTCAGTACCTTTAAAATCTTTCTGGAAATAAAGAGGGGATTATAAATAATAAATAAAAGACCCTGCCACATCATTACTTGAAAGTTAAAGGGACAAAAAGTTGTTTTCTATGTGGACCTCCAGTATCAAATTTTAAACTGCTCAAATTCTTTCTGATTTTTCCCAAGCCAGATTTATGCTGAAAACAATAACTGAAACCTTAAACAACTGGCTCATTTCAGTACCTTTAAAATCTTTCTGGAAATAAAGAGGGGATTATAAATAATAAATAAAAGACTTGTACTTTCAATAATGATTTATAGCAATACAATCACATACATAGATTTCTTCATTATAAAAACTGATCTGTGAATTATGCCCAGCTTTAAATCTAAGAAGAACATCATTCTCACTGATCTCTGCACAACAACTGGTGTTTTGGTTAGATAATAACAGCAACTGCCTTACACATTCTGTTGTAATATTTGGTTTTAAGTTTGGGAACCAATTTTAAGTAACAATTCCTGTATACCTGCTCAAGGAGAGTTCCCAGAAGGTTCTAGTTTTCAAGTTTCCTCTAATTTGCAGTTGCTATATGCAAGGGTCAGCTGGTCCCTCAGCCATCCATACTATACGAAGCCCAAGTGAAACTCTGAATAGAGTTGCTCTCACAAGATATTATTTTGCTAATGTCTATTTTTCTTTAAAAAAAATAAAACATATTTGTGTCAAATCATCAATGTGTATCTCTACTGATCTCTGCACAACAACTGGTGTTTTGGTTAGATAATAACAGCAACTGCCTTACACATTCAGTTGTAATATTTGGTTTTAAGTTTGGGAACCAATTTTAAGTAACAATTCCTGTATACCTGCTCAAGGAGAGTTCCCAGAAGGTTCTAGGTTTCAAGTTTCCTCTAATTTGCAGTTGCTATATGCAAGGGTCAGCTGGTCCCTCAGCCATCCATACTATACGAAGCCCAAGTGAAACTCTGAATAGAGTTGCTCTCACAAGATATTTTGCTAATGTCTATTTTTCTTTAAAAAAAAAACATATTTGTATCAAATCATCAATGTGTATTCTACTATGGGAATTATAAATGAACAAGTTATGGATGAAAAGATCAAAGAACAGAAGTATTGGTGATTTTTCAAGTCTGCAGTGAGTTTATAATGAAACTTTTAATGGAATGGTAACTTTCCGCCAGTGGTGTCTGTATAATGCAAGGTGCCTGGGGCTTTATCTTCCTTTCCACTCAGAGCCTGGTGAACACATCACAGCTCCTCACGCTCACACAGCCTCCGAAGTCATCTGTGTGTCTCCAGCACCTGCATGGGCCTGCTGGGCTCTTCTAAATGTTTCTTGCCTATATAATAGTGAACTATAAAACATTGGCTGCATTCTTGTTGACCATGGTCCACTCTCCCCTATTTCCTTTAAGGATCTCAGAGATGTCTTACAATGCACACAATCTTGTCCTGCAGGAGGACCACTGTAACACAGGGGTCCAGGTAGTAGTACGTCAACATTTGGAGTTTTAGTTCTTGCTGCAGTGCTTGGTTCAGGTAGAGTTGCTAGTTCTCAACCTTAAATCAAGTAGGATGACTTTTGCGTCACCCCAATCCTGCTGTTCTGCCAACCCTGCTTAGAAGACTGGTCGCCACTTTCCAAAGGATTATATACATACCTTAGCTCTCAAATCACACTCAATTCTTGCCCACCTCTCCACATATGAGGACTAGGGTACTTTATGCAGATGCTCCTTAGGTTTCAGACCCCAAAATCAACTTCTATAGGAAACCTTCAACCCCATCATGGATTATAAAGTACCTAACCCTCAAATTCTCTTATGTACTCTCTTATTTACATTTTTGAGAACATACTTAGCAAAACTAATTAGTAAAACCTAAGACTAGTTAAGGTCACCAAGGGTTGGTGGCCAGAAAGATAAAGCTGAGTCAAGAGGCTTGAGTTCCAGTTGCAGCTCCAGCAACTAGGGAAAACAAGCATCAGCTTCTGAATTTGCAAAGCAGAAGTGCAGCAAGGCAGAATGGCGCACCTTCGTCCTCAGCAGACCTGTACGCAGGCAAAATTAACCTCCAAAGTCCTCCTCCTCAGGCACTGTCCAAAGGAACTTTTTGTGATAATGGGAATATTCATATTATGTACTGACCAATATGGTAGCCGCTATCTGCAAGTGTCTAATGAGCAATTGAAATATGGCTAGTGTGACTAAGGAACTGAATGTTAATTTAATTTTATTTAAATTTAAACAACTAATGCAGTGTGTTGGACAGTGCAGCTAACCAAGAAATTGGTATAAAATTTTTAAAGTACTATAATGTAAGGGCAAATATAAACTTCCAGTCTGCAGGCTATACTTCCATGACAGGAAATCCAGTATAATTGGCTAGAAAGTTTGTGACAACTGACATTCACTTTTCTTAAAGCATACAGATGCTAAAACCATACTTTCCCCATTCTCCTACTGATAAGCTATAGTTTAATGAAAACCATTTTGTGGTGAAAGGCACCTTGCTGGGACACATCTCCAGTTTGGAAGAATGGAATGGGAGGCAGGTGAGCCTTATTAGGGAGGATCTTTCTCTCTAGCTGTAGCAACTGAAGTTTGAGGGCCACTCTGAGACTTTCCCATCTTGAGAGGTTTCTGTGATGTTTTAATAAAAGTGACATTAAGTCATCCAATGGGAACTCTGATGCTTGGTTTACTGACTGCAGGAGCAGGAACATGGACTAAATCCACTGGCTTTGGGAAAGCCTTTAGTAAGTAGACTGCCCCGGATGAGGCCATAGCAGAGCACAGCCCTGTGTGGAACAGTGGCCAAGCAAGAGGCCAGAGCTGGCGCCACTATACCCTACCTGCACGCAGAACTGCCGAGAAGGCACTGCAGGCGGAAGACCACATTTGTTCATCTTCTTTATTACCACCCTGTCCACTCCGTCTTCTCTCTCCTGGATACCACAGTACCTTCCTCATTGTCTCCCTGCTTCCATTCAACTCCCTACAACTCATCCCCATGCAGCAGCCAGAAAGATCTTTTAAAATGAGACAGTCTCATTCCTCTACTTAAGATCCTCCAGTGGCTTCCAGCTCACCCTTCTGCTTCTCTCCCCACTGTCCCTCTGCTCATTCTGTTCCAGCTAGACTGACCCCCTCGATCTGTCCTTCAGATAAATCAAGCTTCTTCCCCCGCTCAGAACTGAATTGAAGGGCTTCACTTAAGCCATCTCATTGTGTCTCTACAGCAATCCTAAGGCTTAAAGAAGACAAATCCTGGCCACACAGTTTACGAGCAATGGAAGGAGAACGTGAATCTAGGGAAGCCCGAATGCTGAGCCTACAAGCTCTACCTCCACATGACACCCAAAAGTAATGGAGCATCTGTTCTATTTCCCCTCCCCGACACATAAAAACGAGACAATCCAGCCTCTGCTGAGGCAAACCCCTCCTTTATCAAGGTAACCACCTTCCCCCAAAGTTTGATGCCATATTAACACCGTCCAGCAATATCCAATACGTATGGCTAACCGTGAATTTCTACTTGTTAGGCACATGGTGCCTCTCAGCCATGAATTTTCTTGGATCTTTTTAAACTTACAGCCATTTAATTACAACTGAAACACAACGATCATATGAAAACCAAGTCACTTTTATGTTTGCTTCACAGCCTTATTTCACATTTAGGCGAATATCAGTACTTCAAAGCTATATTGTCTGTGACTTACTCTCTCTTGCCCCCACGTGCAACAATAATATAATGAGATCTGTACCAGTTCATCAGATGGTTGATATTTTATAGGAGAGCATCAACACATATAAGAGCCAAGTTTTATATTACAGAGAGGGACCTCGTATCTGTCTGCCAAATGATCACCTTGGTGGGAATGCCTCATTGCAAAACAGGTTTTACTTTACATAAAGTTGGGCTTACCAATCAAGTCAATTTCTGTAACTGTTTTAGACGTCAATTTCCTCAATTTATAAAATGGGGATATAATAATTAATTTCTCACAGAGTGATTTTGAAGATTCAGTGAGATTATGCTTGTTAACTACTTGGCATAGTAAGTGCCCGGTACACAGTAAGTGCTAGTTTACACAGTCAGAGGTACCTACTTTTTAAAACATAATCTGTAGGAGGCATAATCTGACTGAATGATGCTCTTAGTGAACCAATTGTTCAATTACCAAACAACTTCCCAACAGTGAAAAATTAAAGAGATAACAGTCCCTGACTGGAAAGATGGTTCAATCTAGCTGACTCTAAATCCAGACTTCTGTTTTTTAAAACTGACTGTGTCCACATCTGACTTCTTATCTTGACTCGGCATAATCTATGCCATTACTAACCAGCATGGGCATTTTATTAGCCCTTGTTTGCTATTTCAGTTCCCCCCCAGCCCCCCATTATTATTATTATTATTTTCTATTCTTAGATTGCCTTAAGCAGTGGTTTCCACCCAGGGACATTAAGTGGGTTAGTGGTTTTTTGTTTGTTTTTTTCTTTTTCTAATGGGTATGACATAGTCAAAGCACTGTCTTTGATCTTCTTTTTCCCACGGGGAATTTACGCAAGGCATGAGCAACAAATAACTTCTAAAGATCTTTACAACAGGCCTTTGAAAAGAGCCTTAATTATGAATCCATAAAACTCAACAGAGTCAGGCTGGCTTTTCAGAAACACATCTGCTTTAAGAATTCATTCCTTCAAGCATTATCTTTGCCTTTTCTAATCACTACTGCAGTACTCCAGTAGATCTATTAATAAAAATCTCTCAAATAGTTGAGGTAAATCCAACATTTCACTATTTCAGGCATTTGCCTTTAACCCAAATCCTAACACCAGAGGGAAAAGGCAGCAGCCTGCCACTGTTTCCAATACCCACCTCCAGGAGAATACCTATTTTGAAAAATGCTTACTGTGATTTTCCAAGTACATTTGCTATTTGGAGGGTACACTCCAGGAAAACCTTCGCTGCCAATAAATCCAGACTCTCCAGTAAGAATGCCACCACATGTGAAAACAGGTCTGCAAAAATAAAGGAGGAAAGGATACTTAATTTGAAACGTGGTCTAACAATCTAATGTCAGCTTCAGAAAGGTGTAGCTTATTAATATGGATAAAAGCTAATACTGATTAATAAATGCTTACACCATATAAAGGATCTGAAAGCTTGCTAGCTCTTAGAATATTTTAATCATAGCTTGATAAAGCATTCAGTGCAGCTGCCATGTGTCTTCACCATAACACAATATTATACATACAGTATAATCAAGGCTTCCACGTAGTGGTAAAAGTGGTAATTGGTTCAATTTAACCGGCTAGAGGAGGTGAGAGCCAGGCTGAGTGAGGCGCATGGTGTTCAAGACAGATGAGCAATTGGTTAATATAAAAATTAAGTCCCCAGATTTGGAAAGGTGCCTGGTTCTCCTCCCCTTTTCTGACAATCGCTGGCCATTGGCAGAGCCTCCCATTGCAAAGGGAGGCTGATGTGGACGAGGTGATAGAGGAGCTGCCAGACTTGGCCATCAGGCGGGTCCCACAGCCCGGGGGAGCCTCGGGTTCTTCCCTCGGTTGACGCCCCTGGGCCGAGCCTCTCTCTCAGGGGAAGAAAACTGCGGTCAACCGCAGTGACAGATCTGGGCCCGAGTGCTTCCCTCCTCCCCTATACACATTCGAGGAGAGGGGACGCAAGTCAGATCGAGCCCCCGCCACGTGGTGGCCGGGCCAGCTGCGGGGCCATCGGGCAGGCCGAGCCGGGGGGCGCGGGGCAGCCCTGCGGGTGGGAGCGGCTCCGGGTCCGGGCGGCGCGCTGGGCGTCCCGGGCGCCCCGAAGCGGGGGGCGTGAAGCGG